ATGTTCACAGGAGACACCCTCCTGTAAGCTTCGTTCATGGTGTAAATGGTTTCGTCCCTCGCATCGTCTCTGAGGCTAGAGCTTGACGAGTAATTGTAGGCTGCGTTCCGCGTCATACTGCCAGAGGTCCTGCTGGTAGGATGAGGTCGTTGGGTTGACGTTGTAATGTCTGCAGGGAGATGATACACAACTGGGGGCGGAACATACTCCACCTGTGGCCGCTGGCCGGCAGAGGATCTGCAAAGAAAATCACATAATACTAACCAATAACCTGTGATGCATGTACATATGGAGAATATCAGGTTTAAAGCAAGAAAGACCCCCTAAATAGTTCTGCCCCATACAAATGTGATGTTACCTCCAAATGAAGGACACCTCTGAATAAGGCACACTTTCAATGTCCTTAGGGTGTCTCATTTCACCTCTGAATAAGGCACACTTTCAATGTCCTTAGGGTGTCTCATTTCAGGGGTTTCACTGCACTTATATAGAGTGGGAAAATCCAAATTAATGCTTACTGTTTGTGGGCTCTGGTCCAGTAGATGCAGAGAACCAGACTTCCATTAGCCAGACATCCAGCTATGCCTCCAACAACGAGGCCAACAACACCTGTCAGTACCACCATGTTTACATTACTACTAGTAGTACTGCTCTCTTTCCTTGCTCCCTCCCCACAACTTGAATCTTTACCCTCTTCTCCAGATGGAGAAGAAGGAGGAGAAGGTAAAGGAAATGTAGAAGGAAGAGGAGAAGGAAGTGTGAAAGTGAGGGAAGTGTAGAAGGAGGATATGAAGAGAGTGGAAGAGGTGGGAATGACTGAGGAGGATTAGAGGGGTGCAGAGAGGGAGGAGAAGGGGGAGTGAGAAATGGATACAGGGTAAGTAAAGTGGGTGGAGAGGGTATAGCGAATGTTGAAGGCGACAGAAAGGAACTCCTCTCATCTGCACCTCGTGTACCATCCTCCCCTGCCTCATCTGGTGCACCATTTCCCTTTGTCTCACCACACTGATAAGCATCCCTGAGTTGAAACAGGTAAGAGACGGCGTGTTCCTGACCACTGTAGTAATGTTCCGAGACTCCTTCAACTGATATGTAGTAGAGCCTTCCGTCGACCACATTAGTCAGTGTGTAGCTCGTTGTGGTTGTGTTTAGCACAGGAGATGAAGTGAGTGGACCACCTGCGCTGGTATAGTAGTTGACTCTGTAGCCAGTGGTGTCTCCAAGAGGATTCGGTGGAGTCCATTCAATGAGGGCACTAGTGGCTGAGGCCTGACATATTCTGGTCACATTTGGAGCTGTTCCAACTGCATGGTGGAAAGGTTAGGGCAGCACTGAGACATATCCTAAACTTAACATATTAATAGGCCTTTATCAGATAAGCGTAGTCGTTAAAAGAACATGTCTAGCAGAATATTTTTGTCTACCTTTCACAGTGAATGTTGCAAAATCTTGAGAGGGTTTGTTGTTGGAGACAATACACTTATAGGTTCCAGGTTGTCTCCCAGTCACTGTCAGAGCGTGCGTGTACAGTGGAGGTGTAGGGTCAACCAACGTAGTCACTCTTTCTCCCGCTGAATTCTCCATGTTTTTTATCCATAGGAGACTTGAAGCAGGTCCACCAGTTGAGATACAGGTGATGGTGAACCGAGGACTGGCTCCATTGAGGTCAGAGTCAACAGCCAACTCCACAGTATCCACCACTTCCAACACCTCCTGTGTCATTCACCAGCATGCAATTAACGTAACTTTGAATTCCTCTTATTTCTATGGAAAAGGTGTTGTCCTTAGTGTCATTGAGTATAGATATGTTGTGCTTTGCTTTCGTAACTCACTTATCATTCATTCTATAAGTATCACTAACAGTAAGTGTGTGTTAGAAACTGTGCTCATTAAGGCTTACATATAACTACACCGAGTTAAGATTTTTCTTACCTCCTGATTGGTAAAGACCAACGTAAATTCTGTTTCTCTCAGGATCGGATTCTCTAATCTGTGCATCGCAGGTATATATTCCAGAAATTGGCTCAAAAACCCTCAAACTTGTTGGTACAAGACCTAGCTCGGCCACCATTGTACCGTAATCCAAGTCGAGACCGTCTCCTGAAAGTCTTCTTATCTGCTCTCCATTTGGATACAACCAAACTGCTTCTCTATTCAAGGCGTTGCAGCAAGTAGCAATCTCTGAGTGACAGCTGATAAACGATCCTCCTTCCAGTGTAGCAAAATCAACGTAACTGTGATTTGCGATTGTTTCACCTTCGAAAACAAGACGAGGGACTGTAATCTGCACCAGACAAGTGTTGAAATTAATCCACAGCAGAAGCAGAACTTTAGATATCTTGCTAAGAGTACGCATCACTCTTTCCTTAATGCAAAGCCGCTAAAAGATTTGAGATATGAGTTTGACTAAACACTGTGCAGCTATCTTATACTCTACGCAGCCACATGGCATGCAAGGTTTTGTATGTGTAGTTTGTATACTGAGCACATGAAGTGCTGTACGTCGTTCAATTGTTTGGCTTGCTATTGACCCCACTGTGTGGTCTGAAAGGCAGACATTACTGGCTCACACCTGTAGTAACAATGACACCTTTGACAAAGGATGATCCGAATAAATGACACTTTGCAGTCTTTGCTCTGCCCCTTACTAATTAGAGCGTCGGTATATACCTCTGAACGAGAGACATACTGAATAAAGTCCCCAAGGTGTCCCTTAGGTTTTTAAAGTTTTTGTTCATGCATTGTTCATGCACAGATTAAAAGTCCCTAAATCGAGTCATAATGCAAAGGTTCTCTCATTCCTCGTAGCAATAGTCTGTAGCCACTCTATTGGGGTTGCTTCAGATATCCGGCTTTTCCAAACACGTAATTGCATTGTCACCAACTTGGAAAGTGAGACCCTAAAATAGTAGCTAATGGTCTCTGCTTGTTTCAAAACTTTCCAAGATCCAATGTCGCGTTGTAAGTGATACGTAACTGTAAGCTCCATGGTAGCTATGGAGCACTAAACACAAACACAACCGCAGCGTGATGAAAGGTCTTTGGTTGATTTATGCACGCAGCTCATTAACAGTATTATACATTATGGACAAAGTATGGTCCTTTAAGGAAAAACAGGCCTTCAAAAGGGTGACATGTCTGACACTGTGGTCTATTTTCTACGCTCCAGTGTGCAGAAAAACCACAATCAAACTGGTGGACATGTTGCTCCCTGTGTGGGCTCGGAAGCCACTGATACTGTAGTAAAGCAGTACTCTAAGACTTATTATGGTAGTCGACCTAGTGATGCCCATCCCTGAGGGGATTTTGAGAGCAGTGCTCTTATAAAGCACTGAATATACAACTGACACACTCACAGTCATAGGTTGCTACTTAACTTAGCATGATGAGAGGCTTTTGGTTGAGGCTTAGAAGTTTTGCGTGGATTCTAGCTGTGCTCATCAACAGTGGATATGGAAGCACGTCTCAAACCTTTCCGTATCTGAAACTCGGAGTCAGCCTGCGGAACAACAGCATTGTCAACCTGAGCTTGATAGGAACTGTTGACCAACTGTTTGTGTGTGACAGATCTAAGTATCACTAGTGAGTCAAGTTTGATTAAAGCAACCTGGATACTGCCTAACGGAACAAGACTGACTCAGGACGGAGTACAGGAGATTAGCTCATTCACTGTTCATGCAGAAGGGTCCAGTCTGGCTCTACAGCTCACTGACCTGGGTGCCAGGAGTATCCCAGCTCTCTCTGGAGTGTATGAGTGCTCCATTGACACAAGCTCTGGACAAGCCCAGAGTGTTTTTGTTGGCCTCTACTATGAACCAGATGCAAGTAAGCAAGTGTAGAAAGGCATATTTCGACTGCTGTAGCTATAATATGGCATTCAAAGGCTGGTAAACCTAGCACAACTATAGCAGAAACTCGTTACACAATCTCACATTATTTTCTCTCAGGTCGTATTCAAACCGGGGAGATGTCGTTCTCTGGAGCAAGTGGACCTCCATCAAATCTCACATGTATCACAACTGGAAGGCCACCCACCATAGTGGAGTGGTATAAAAATGCTGAAAGGATCATTGATGCTAATAGCACCACTGTTCTCAACGACCCAGTGACAGCTCGCTACACCCACACACTCAAGCTTTCCAGGAGACAGAGAGGACTGTACAAGTGTTATGTAGTAACCTCTAACGATCACACTACTAATGTTTCGGAAGAAAATACATCTGCTCAACTTAATGTTGAAGGTATAATGTTTTGGTACCACCATTGTCTTTTCTCTTTTCTTCATTTCTATATCTCTAAACTCTTTGTTCTATACTTTGTTTTCTGCCCACTTCCCTCCTGCAGTTGGTTTGGAGCCAGACGGTGTCACTGCATTCACAACAGACCTGACTTCAGCTCGCATTACCTGGAACACTCCATCACCTCCAGACGATACAATAGGCTATGAGGTCTATTACACTGGCCCCACAAACGGCAGCGTTACTGTTGATGAATTTGGAGGAGAGACGGATAACGTGATGTTGACTGGTCTCGTCAATGGGGGAGCTTATTACTTTTTCGTGGCTGGGAAATCGGCACACTTTGAGAGTGAGCGTGTTGCAGTCAAATACGGACCACTTTATCTGTGTAAGCACTTCATGCGCAACACTATAGAGATGATTGTAGAGTTATTTAAATGGCCAGTATATATGTCTACTTTAGCTCCCGGAGCTCCTGCATTGGCTCTAGTATCAACAACAGTGGACTCTGTGACTGTGTCATGGAGTGTTCCCACTGGAACAGTGGTGGATAACTTTGACCTCCAGTGGAATGTGGAGAGAGAGCAACAACCAGAGACCACCTTCACTGAGATGGTGGGCGGCTCTATCCACAGATACACCATCTCTGGTTTGAGTGGTTTGCAGAATGCAACAGTAAAGATTATAGTGACTGCAATCAATGGCGCTGGCACAAATCCCAGTACACCTCTCACCCTTCATTCTGATATTCTTCGAAACATGGACTCAGAGGGAGGCGATACTGATGGAGCTGACACCTCCATCTCGTTTGGAGCACTAATTGGAGGAGCAGTGGGTATTTTTCTCGTCAGTATTGCAGCCGGGATTTTGATCGCCTTTGTTGCACACAAGTGCCGTGAGAATATGAAGAAAAAGTGAGTATCTTCATAGCACGTGTACCTTCTCAAGTTTGTCTATTTCCTTTGTTGTTAGAAATAGCTTTCATACTGGGCGTCAACATAATCCTTCATGCATGATACACTGAGCGTATATTCCCCATTATCTGATTCCTTAGCAGCCCATGTAAAGCAAGTCGACCATTTTATGTGTGTTACAACCATCTCTCGTGGGATTGAAGCATTATACAACACCCATTCCATAGACACCCGTATAAACTATCTTAACAATTCAAACATGTAATATGCAGGTCAGAATCAGGAGCAGTGAATGCTGGGTACAATCCACCACTCAGTCCCCCTACACCTAACTACTCAGCTGCTGTTGGTGATCCTGCAACCAGAGTCAATGTGGCATACAGCAATAGAGAGCCTGCAACAGCCATCAACGCGGCCTATCACTATGATACAACTAATCAGACAGTACAGTACGACTACATTTGAACTTGGTGTGTTGATGTCTTGCAATTATGCGCGCTTGGGGTGCGCGTATAATTATACACACACTGGTCCGGCCAATCACCGCCTGCCAAATGAGCGCGTCTATATACATGCACGTACGTCACTGAAAACTGGTCACGTCACGTGCACACTTGCGCTCACCAACATGTTGCACTTCAGCATACTAGCGACAGTTTCTACTGCACTAACAGCTACGTAACTACAAAGTTCTATATACAACAGTTCAATGAGCTCATGTGTGGCTACACTGTCAGCCTAGCTAATTCTGTACTGCTTGTATCAATCCGAACCTTCGCTCCTTGAACGCTCTTCCGGACTTTCGCTCCGCGAACCCTCTTCCGAACCTCGGTTGCGGTTCTTTGGCGGCCGACCTCCAAGCGCTCCGTCTAGCGGTTGATTGCGGTAAGTGTAAGAAATAGGTGATACGGGGTTCGGGCACTGTCCAGGATCGTCGTGTTCGTAGACCCTACGACAGCGGAGCGGTTGGACGTCCCTGTAATTGAATGTCAGCTCCGATCCAGTCGCTGTTTGCACCTTCCTCAAGTACTCGAGAACAACGCGCGGAACTGTGATTGCTTCCTTCATCACGAACCATTGGACCGACTCGTCGCATGTTGGAGTCGTGAGCGACCCTTCGTAGTAATAGTACGAGCGGTCGGCGGGGAGAAAACCAATCCATGCGGACGAAGGTATCCAGTTTCCGGCATAACGCTGATGGGAAGGCGGTTGATCAAAGGCGATTGGGGGGAGTTGCTCCCCGCGTACGCAAGAACTCCAACAACAAGGTATTTTTCTGAGTCCGGTCCCGAGGGCGCCACCCGCTCGTGAACGAAGTGAATCTCCAGCGCGGCTTGGTGCCCGTTGATGCGGTGCTCGGAGCCGGCTCCGTCGTTTTCGCCCCAGTGCATGTGAAACTGCGCCAGTTGGTATTCGCCGAGATGAGTCCTCGTAGTAATTGCGGGGCTACCGGGGAACGGAGTAAACTTGATCGTGTGCCCGTTGTTTTTCAGTTCGCCATCGACTTCCAAATCCCAGTTTGTGAAGACAAGATTTTCGGTTAGTACGCCTTGCACGACGTCCTCGGTTCTGATGTTGATAGGTGACTAACGCGTGCCACTGTTACACACGCCGCCCCAGTTTTCTTGATTGATATAGTCCCAATCGCTGGCTGCGTACACGGCGTCGTCACTCAGTGCAATTGCCAACAGGACCAGGCGAAGCATCGCCGTTACAGTGTTCGATTTGATCCAGGTTTTCATGGTTAGCTGCAACTGTTTGTGATAGTCGTACTACTATGCGAAATTTATAGCTAGCTATTATACCAGGTGCACGTCGGTCTGCCAAATGCTGGCTAATTGATTCAGACTGCAAATGCTATAGCTAATTGGTCAAACCTTGGTGCCTGCCAAATGGAACATGCGCATCTGACTAACTATACCTAATTGAGGGAACAACAAAATTATACTATCACTAAGTACCGTAGTATAATGAAAAGCACTAAAGTGCAAACCCTCGGCGAACTGCGCATGTGCGGTACCACTAATTGATGGGCTGGGCTTTTACTCGTGGTATCCCGCTCGGAGTCTGGCTCGGGCTAGGCTAGCTACAGTAGTAAATAACATGGTCACGTGGTACCGCGCATGCGCAGTTCGCCGAGGGTTGGCACTTGAGTGCTTTAGTCGTCTGATTGGAGATTATATCTCCAAAGAGAGATTTAGACACAAAATAATGAGCCTTGTCTGAGAGAACCCACTTTCCCAGGTTTGAATACGCTTGACCAATTAGCCAACATTGGCAGACCGACTTGCACCTAATACCTAGCTATAAATTTCGCAAGGGGTGGTAATGAGGGGAATTAAGAAAAATAAGTGTTTAGGTACAGTGCGATAGTATTGCAATTCCCCCCTCCAACTATAGTCAAAGTGTTAGGCATTATTGGTTTGTTGTTTCGTTTACTCATGTGCGTACAACAAATGCAAAATGGTTCAAACCCTTGTTGGGAAATTGCTAGAAAAATAAGTGTTTAGGTACAGCGAGATAGTATTGCTATTCCAACCTACAATGACATTCAAAGTGTTAGGCACTGTTGGTTTGTTGTTTCATTCACTCACGTGCGTAAAACAAATGCAAAACTGTTGAAACCCTTGTTGGAAAGGGTGGAAATTGCTAGAAAAATAAGTGTTTAGGTACAGCGAGATAGTATCGCTATTCCAAACTCCAACTATAGTAAAACTGTTAGACATTGTTGGTTTGTTGTTTCGTTCACTCACGTGCGTACAACAAATGCAAAACTGTTGAAACCCTTGTCGGAAGGGGTGCCTTTGTTGTCAGAAATAGCTTTCATACTGGGCGCCAATGCATGATACACTGAGCGTATATTCCCCATTATCTGATTCCTTAGCAGCCCATGTAAAGCAAGTCGACCATTTTATGTGTGTTACAAACATCTCGTGGGATTGAAGCATTATACAACACCCATTCCATAGACACCCGTATAAACTATCTTAACAATTCAAACATGTAATATGCAGGTCAGAATCAGGAGCAGTGAATGCTGGGTACAATCCACCACTCTGTCCCCCTACACCTAACTACTCAGCCACTGTTGGCAATCCTGCAACCAGAGTCAATGTGGCATACAGCAATAGAGAGCCTGCAACAGCCATCAACGCGGCCTATCACTATGATACAACTAATTAGACAGTACAGTACGACTACATTTGAACTTGGTGTGTTGATGTCTTGCAATTATGCGCGCTTGGGGGTGCGCGTATACACACACACACGTGCCTTTTCGCGCGCAAGTGAGCGTCTATACACACACGTGGTCACGCCACGTGCACACTTGCGCTCACGTACCAAAATGTTGCACTTCAGCACTAGCGACAGTTGCTACTGCACTAACAGCTAACTACAAAAGTTCTACAACAGTTCAATGAGCTCATGTATGGCTACACTGTCAGCCTAGCTAATTCTGTACTGCTTGTATCAATCCGAACTTTCGCTCCTTGAACGCTCTTCCGGACTTTCGCTCCGCGAACCCTCTTCCGAACCTCGGTTGCGGTTCTTTGGCGGCCGACCTCCAAGCGCTCCGTCTAGCGGTTGATTGCTGTAAGTGTAAGAAATAGGTGATACGGGGTTCGGGCACTGTCCAGGATCGTCGTGTTCGTAGACCCTACGACAGCGGAGCGGTTGGACGTCCCTGTAATTGAATGTCAGCTCCGATCCAGTCGCTGTTTGCACCTTCCTCAAGTACTCGAGAACAACGCGCGGAACTGTGATTGCTTCCTTCATCACGAACCATTGGACCGACTCGTCGCATGTTGGAGTCGTGAGCGACCCTTCGTAGTAATAGTACGAGCGGTCGGCGGGGAGAAACCAATCCATGCGGACGAAGGAACCCATTACCCAGTATCCAGTTTCCGGCATAACGCTGATGGGAAGGCGGTTGATCAAAGGCGATTGGGGGGAGTTGCTCCCCGCGTACGCAAGAACTCCAACAACAAGGTATTTTTCTGAGTCCGGTCCCGAGGGCGCCACCCGCTCGTGAACGAAGTGAATCTCCAGCGCGGCTTGGTGCCCGTTGATGCGGTGCTCGGAGCCGGCTCCGTCGTTTTCGCCCCAGTGCATGTGAAACTGCGCCAGTTGGTATTCGCCGAGATGAGTCCTCGTAGTAATTGCGGGGCTACCGGGGAACGGAGTAAACTTGATCGTGTGCCCGTTGTTTTTCAGTTCGCCATCGACTTCCAAATCCCAGTTTGTGAAGACAAGATTTTCGGTTAGTACGCCTTGCACGACGTCCTCGGTTCTGATGTTGATAGGTGACTAACGCGTGCCACTGTTACACACGCCGCCCCAGTTTTCTTGATTGATATAGTCCCAATCGCTGGCTGCGTACACGGCGTCGTCGCTCAGTGCAATTGCCAACAGGCCGTTACGTCTCCAATCAGACGACTAAACAAGCTAAAGCACTAAAGTTGGGTTTGTCTGTCTGTCTGTCTGTCTGTTACTCTCAATCTCACTTCTCGAATGTCTGATACGACCTATATACTTAACGGGCAATGAAGGTCAGAAAATAAAGGCGGTTTTCTCTGAAAATGCTTCGTTGCAAAGCTAGAGCGCTTCCGCCATTGTACGGCTAATGCTAGTCGGCCATTTTTATCGCTGCGGAAAATGCGGACGGGAGACCACGAGTATACTACATACTAATAGCAGCCCAGCCCATCAATTAGCGGTACCGCGCATGCCCAGTTCGCCGAGGGTTTCCACTTTAGTGCTTTTCATTCTAGCTGTTACTCGTGGCTCTTGCCAGCTAGCTCGCGCAGAGTCTGACGCGGGCTAACTACACTACTAGATAGTATGCGAGAGGCGATACACGCCCTGCGTTGCATCTTCTGGTGCCTCCGAAGTACGCAGAACACGCGGATCGAGTAAGCCGTCCCCGTCCGTTGTGTATTTGCACATTGGCTTTTTAGCGCTCTAGCTTTGCAACGGAGCAGTTTCAGAGAAAACCGTTCGAAATTTCTGACCTTCCTTGCCCGTTAAGTAGGTCGTATCCTTTGTGAGACGAACAAACACCCGAAAAGTGAGATTGAGAGTAACAGACAGACAGCAGACAGACACACAAACCTAACTCCCCTCGCTGCGCATGCGCGCCGAGGGTTAATGAGGGCCTGCAATGTTATGGTAACTTTCTCTGTGCCATGCATATATATAGCTACCCAGTGTGATGCATTGAAAAAGTAAAATACTTTTAAGCCAAGAAAAAGGCACTCCACTGGACAAGTGGCCAACATGCCCAGTGAAGCGGGGTCAACTCAGTATTGTCCAACAGAGTAGTGGGTAAGGGGAGGAACTAGAGCTGATCCCAGGTAGTGACCACCTACCAGCTTCCAGTCCGGGATCGATCTCTCGACCACCGGAACCTTTACCCCACTTCTACTGATTGAACCACTTGCGTGACCCACAGGGAAGAAGTCGAAATTCTGAATCTACACCCATGAGTGAGGTTCAAAGAAAAAAAAGTGGCAGTTGTGGGCTAGAACCCAGGTAGCACTAACGCTGTGTTCCAGTTACAAAGACTTTAGCCGTTACACCATCAAGTCATAGCCGTAACACGGCTGCGGAAGACTGTGCATGCGCTAGCAACTACAGGTATGTTTTTATGCCAACCAAAATTGGTGTAGCTAGAAGGTCAAACCACCCACAAAAACCAAGGCATCACACATCCAAGTTTGGGTAAAAGGATGTCTAGTGCTTCCCACCTGGAACCAACAAAACCCATACAACCTTCAGCAAAGTCTTACATCACATGCTGCTTGCTGTTTTATAAGCTGCATATAGTAGCTACAGACTAGTGCCAGTAAGAATTACTAACGGTGTTTCTACCAGCCCGATTGAAGTGAAGAAACAGAACTGATGGTGAGCAACTTGATTATCTGACTTCTTGAGACCCTTTTTCTTGTGCATTTTGTTTAGAAGATGGCGCCTTTCAGTACTGCCCCTGCACTCATGTCTTTGTTTCTATTGCTGTTTTCCTTGGCATTACCGTCCAAGACAGAAGAAGATCGATGTACAAATGAACTGGACAACATCCCGTACATCACATTCATGGGTCAGCGACTCCCGAATCACACTTTTGTCGACGTCGACCTACTGGGAGACCTTCCCAACAACTCTCTGCAGTGTCACACTGATCTTGTGAGCTGCTGTGGAGCCTCTGGCAGTGGCCATAGTGGGGAGTGGATCCTACCTAATGGAGATGTAGTTGGAGCAGCGAGTGGTGTTTGGTATGGTGTTAGAGAGCAGTCTCAGAGACTTGATCTGGTGTACAGTAAAGACACTGACAATCCGCGAATCTCTGGGATTTATCGCTGCGATGTGTCAACAAATGCGGAGAATGATGTTGGAAACACTGCAAGAGCGAGTGTCTATGTCGGTCTCTATGCAGTTGAAAGTAAGCCACCAAAGGTCCTTAAAGTTGCATTCACTATCAGTCCATTTAAGCACCATAGCATGTGCTTGCAACACTTAATCTTGCTTTGTCCTGTGGCTACATAGAGCAGTTGGCTAACATTGAGTGTTTCATCATAATAGCTAAGTTGAACATTGAGTGTCTCAAACATTGAGTGTTTCATTGAGTGTCTCACTAATCTCAGGTCTCTACATAAGTGAAGTATTTCTGACTGAGAACTCTGATGTCAATGGGGATTCCCCTCAATTTACAATCACGTGTGTCTCGGTCGGAGGGCCGGTCGGCTGCGTTGTCTGGAGAATCAGCAAAGAAATCATTCCTAACCCAAATGCCACCTCAACTCTAGTCGACCCTGTGGGAGGCGTGTACGTGCACAACCTGACAGTCAGCGAGGTCAGAGGTGGCTCCTACAGCTGCAGTGTGGCCAACAATAAGCCTACTTCTGAATACGAGGGACTTTTTGTAGAGTGTAAGTTCAGTTCCTGAGACACCCAGAAAGAAAAGAAAGGGAAAGAGAGAGTGAGAGGGCTGTCATGGGGCTTCATAACCTACGTAGCTAACAGCACAAATACATTCGCATAAGAAAAACAGAGAGCCATATTGATCAACTGAAGCATGGGAACAAGGGCTAGAGTAACCAGTCATAAGGCCTACGCACACTTTTCGTATGTATGGCTTCAAGTTCTGAATTTGGTAATGGAGGAGTGACTACTGTTGTCACTACAATCATGTGTGGGTTCTCTGTACACTACTCACTCAGATGCTGAGACTCCACTATATGTTCTGGCAGTACCCTTTGGTCCCACATCAGTCCACGTCATATGGGGTACAATACAGCCACTAAAGAGGACACTGGGCTACAGGATCTACTACCGAGGACCCACCAATGGTAGCGTGGATATAGAGGATCCTAATGTCAATAACTGGGTGATCACTGGACTGAAGAACAATGGAACATACAGGGTTTTCGTAGCGGGAAAGTCGAATCATCTGCCCAGTGAACGACAGGAGTCTAATCTAGTCCATTTAGGTGATTCACTTAGTCTTTACGAGAGTGTAATGTCTAGCTGTACGTATTCTGTCCTATTTTTACAGTGTCAACCTAGGTATAGGCTGCAAGCAATGCAAGGCTTTGTTCTCCTCACTCTTCCTCTATCTATAAACCACACTTTTAGCCCATGTTTGATCGGTTCAATTTCTAGCCTTTATGACCTTGCTCTGGAACTGATTAGCACTTAACAAGCCACGGACACATAAAATTTGTCCAGAGCCTCCACAAGTCCATAAGAATTAATTTTATATGGGTGTTATAATACTAGGCACTAATACTTTATACATCAATTTCTGCTTATTCAAGCAGATACCCATTGCGTTTAAAGGGTTAAGAGTACTATATAAGAAGTCACGCTATAGTAGCCGAAGCACTACACTATAGTAGTGTTTACTCATGAGGGTTAATTTCAATGTTGCAAAGTGTTTGTTGTATTACAGTTCCAGGAGAGCCGGAGCTACAGCTCTACTCAGCCACTCCAGACACTGTCTCCTTCTCCTGGAGACTCCCTCCTGGCTCAGCCGTGGACTCATTCCAAGTCCAGTGGGACCGAAACCACTCCCAGTTTGCCACGTTCCGCGACACTCTCTCAAACTCCACCCACAACTACACCGTGACTGGGTTGAAGGACTATGATAATGCCATGTATACTATCACCGTCACTGCCTTTAATGCTGTTGGGAGTAGCACCAGTTCCAACATGAACTTTGTGGCAAACTTTGTCAATGGCGATGCTGGTGGGAGTGAGGTACCAGAGAACAGTATGGGTGAATCTGAGGGACCTCACGAGGGGCTAATTGCAGGGGTCGTGGTGGCTGGTATTGTGATTATTGCCATAGCTACAGTGATCCTGGGACTCATGGTGTACCACTACAAGTCAAAGTCAAAGAAAAACTCAAAGAAGCCTCTCTATTCGTGAGTTGAAACCCTAGTAGCAACCGCACACTTTTCAAAACTTGTTAATTTACACTGGTAATCCGTACATTGTGTGGAGTCATTCCATTAAGTGGTGTGAAATAGGATTGTAAAATAGCTAGATTGGTTTTTTGTTCATGAGAGGGCATAAGCAATGGCTTATACTGATAGCTTTGTTAGTGGTTAATAAACCTCTCGTATTTCGTCTCTCCCCTCCTGATGCACACATCATGAAGGTTGGCAGGTCAGTCTGCAGGTGTGTCCACCTCTGCCCCCATCCCTCCTCCTCGTCCCGATATCCAGACGGTCGGAAATCGGTAAATCAATACAGAGCCACACGATGCACCACACAAACATTATCCAAACATTATTACTCTTCATAATATGTTCACTATTTTGACACGTCCATAACACAGTGTGTCAACCTTAAGCAAGGTTTTATCACCTTGATATTCAACCATGCTTCCACACAACATCTTTATGAAAAATAAAAGAACTCAATATTGGTTGAGACAACTTCGCGATCCACGACCACCAGTTTTTGTGTTTCTTCCTCCATCAGGTCCTATGCACCAAGTGTCACAACTTTCACCACCACCAACGCTGTCACACGAGATGAAGACTCGCAGTACACGGGGTACTATACCCCGATGGGGTACATTTACCCCACCCCCCATCCTCCGCAGCAATCAACGCCAGCCAACAACACTAACGGCGATCGCTCTACTAGTGCAGCAGTTCGGCAAGATGAGATGAGCACACCAGGCCATGGTTACGAGTACATCACCATTCAGAAGTGAACCAGTGAACCACTCAAAAACACTTTGATAATAATGATGATGTTAAAAGTTTGTGAAATGACAATTTTTTTTGCAGTTGACCGAGTTTAATGAGTAACTGTTAGACGTCGGCAGATTCAAATTGACCAATCAGATTGCGTAAAACGTGGATTCTAAATCCCGTATTTTCCAAGTGCGTGTTTCCATGGAGACGCCCGCCAAAAAATGGCGTCTTCGATGGGGGTGTGGCAAGCTTGCGCGCAAAGAAACTCGCTCCGTCGCTGAGAGCTCGCCGCGACGACTTCAAACTCGCTATATCCGATGCTTCTTCGATGAAAGGCCTCTCTACGATGCAAAAAGAAACTAAACTGAAGACCTTTTTAGCTTCCCCCGGCAAGAGCGAGTCTTTCGGAAGGCGGCGGACCTGGACGATTTTGAAGGCCGGCACGGCCTCCGTCTAAACAGGTTATACTGCTTGTCAATGGAAATACACGATTTAGACGGCCTCGGAGCCCTTAGTAGCGTCTTCGCTGCGCTCAGACAGCTACAGCTCAGGGCCCCTCGTGCCGTCTAAATCGCGTATTTCCATTGACGCGCAGTATAACCTATATAAAAATCCTTGGTTCAATCTTATTGAATGGTTGATTTTCTTTCCACTTTTGAACGATGGATATACTTGTGTGCGCATGACATTCAGCAGATTTTCTAAGTACATGTTTATGGATGCATGTAGAATGATTAGAATGGCTTGCCAACACAAGCCATAAAGTGGGGTATTTTTCATTCCTCTGTAACTATTTCGTGGATACCGTTTGCGAGTAGCGCTTAGTGTTTCCTAGTTAGTCAGTCAACACAAAACTTATCAACAAGGCAGGCATATCAGTCTCTGCCAGTGATCCACACAGGTAAAAATTTCCATTATTTTTCTGTCACTCAAGCGTTAGCTATGTGCTCTATATTTTTGCAGTGAGATGATGGTTTTGGATATTTTCGTGATTGTATTGTTCTCCTTGCTGGCAATTTCACAGCAAGAGGAATGCTCACCTTATCAAGAAACAACTCCTTATATCACTCTGTATGGAAGGCGGCGGTCCAACCATAGTTTCTTTAGTCTCCAAGGAGTGAGTAGCTTTGCATCAGTTGTGTGCAACACAGAAGTAGCTGACTGTTGTGATCCTGATCTCGGTGGTTATATTGGACAGTGGGTTCTTCCAAACGGTTCACTAGTCACACCTGAGAACTATCCCTCTTATATAGCCTCGGCTGGGGAAGGCCGGGTTGACCTGAATCTTAGCAATATACAAGACGAAGGGGGGATGGAGGGACTGTATCGTTGTGACATCATTCTGCCCAATGTGTCTGTGGACAGTGTGTATGTGGGACTCTACAGACGTCAAGATCACGGTAACACTCTTTTGTGCACTGTGTTTTGAGTCCAGAGCATCAGTTTCCCACTCTTTCCTTTTTAAAACATCTGATTGTAAAATTAGAATGAGCCATACAAAACAGTTTTGCGTTGGTCATGTTTCAGTAATGCTAGAATGTATATAGAGCTACACTACAATTGTATGCTTCCAAATTACACTCATGGTCATTGCATATTCATGCAAGCTGCCCATCAGTCTATAAGTAAATGACCGTATTAACTGCAATTCTCATGTCACCAAACAGTTCTAATGTGTTTGCTGCTGAAATAAACACCCACAGCTCTTAGACTGGACAGCATTACGGTGACGAAACGTGACGTATGGAGCTCAGAGTTTGCCGTGACTTGTGTAACATCAGGAGGTCCTGCCACGTGTGTGCAGTGGGAGAAAGATGGCTCACCGATTGCTAACTTCGACTCTGTCACAACTCTCATTGACCCAGGGAACAGCATCTATCACCATGTTCTGACAGTTAGTGAACCTGATGGAACTGGAGACTATGGTTGCACTGTGTTTAATGACAAACCAGACAACGTCAGTGGGAATTTACAAGTTAAACGTAAGTTTTTCTTTACCGTTTAGCATAAGAGGAGGTTATATTGTGCATTAGTGCACTTTTTCAGTGTATGTGAGTGCGTAGTGTTTCTGACTGTCTGTTTTGTGTCTTTCCTGATTCCCTTTCTTCGTGTTCTTCGCTCTGTGTTGGTTTTGTACATTTTGTAGATAGATCTTCTTTGTTGCCTGCTTGTCAATGACTTTGATCAAAGAGACCACCGAGACATGCACAGCTTATGCATGTGAATATTAATATTGTGTCTCACAGAGGCTCCAGCATCTCCAAACCTGTTCCTTGAGCAAAAGAGCCCGACGTCAATACAGGCTCACTGGGTCCACCCTCCCAACCTCCGAGAGGGACATGGGTTCACAATCACCTACAGTGGAGCGACCAGCGGGACTGTACACATTGCCAGTAGATATGCCAACAACCACATCTTCACTGGTCTGAGCAATGGTGGAAACTACACTATGGCTATTGTTGTGACCCCAGCCGACCCCAATGAGCTGCCTAGTACACCAACACATAGCAACATCAGGCCACTCGGTATATTATGAGTATACTTTACCTCATCGTCTTATTGTTTATTTTTCAGAAAGTGTGTTCCATCAGCATTGCAGTGATAGCGTTTGTTTTGTTCTGAAGGCTAATTAACTTTCAGTGCAAACATGATACGATAGGTAGCTGTATGCTGGGTCAGTAGGCTGAACTACCACCATAGCACCAAGGAATTACCATGCAGGAACAGGAATTTTCAATATAGCTAACTCCAAGTCAATTTAAGTGACATCCAGTAATACTAAACCTCGTCCCAAGTTGTCTGCATTGGTCCTAATAGGATTCCACAGCTGTCCCTATTGTAGAGTAAAGGCAGATGCAACTTTCTTGCGTGAGACAAAGTTGCATACATCTTCAAATGTATGGTTGATAGACCATGCAACAAAGTTACCTGAAACAGACCTATTGTATCCATACATTTGAAATCTTGTCACACCTCACATTGTGTATCACATTGAGTTCCCCACCCCAGTTCCCGGTGCCCCTCAGTTGCGGGTCTCCTCAGCCACAGAGGACACACTCTCCCTCTCCTGGACTCTACCAGTCGGCTCAGTAGTGGATAGCTACGACATCAGGTGGGAATTCCATCAGACCCGGCTTGCCAGCACCTTCAGAGCAGCTCTGGGCCCAGAAATCTTCAACTACACCATATCAGGACTGGGGGGCTATGGCGACGCATCCCTCATTGTCACCGTGACTGCTTTCAATGCAGCTGGAAACACTACAAGTCCCGTCTTGAATGTTGCTGCAAATTTTGTTTCAATCACCCAGGACGACGGAGCATACTCGTGTACTTCTAATGAGGAGTTAATTGCAGGGTTAGTAACTGGTGGATGTGTTACAATCGCCATAATTGTGGGGCTATTTGGACTTATTGTCTTCTGTTGTAAAAGAAAAATCTCCAAAAAATCTTCGGCAAACACTAATTGTGGTTACGACGGGACTGAAGCTGTTGTTGCTACCAATAGCATTGGCACCCTAGCTAACGAGTGAGTATAATAATAACTACAATAGAGCAACCTTCTCCTTACTAAAGTGTACACATTGTTTTGTTAAGAAGCCATGTGGCTGATGAGCCTAGTTTCAACTTTGCCTAAAACATTAAGGGTCATCTGTTTGGGCATGTGTATACTGAAAGGCATCCAGCAATAAACATTAATACAAACATGCATGGGCACAGTGGCAGCAAGGATAAAACACTACTTGACAGCCCCCTTAGTGTGAACCTTTAACCCCACAGTAGCCATGAAACAAATCTCATGACGTGTAAAATAATTTGTACTCACACGTCTTCATAACTCTATTTCAGCTCCTACAGTGTAAGTGGAAGTCTAGTAAGGCCACCACTGACAGCAGAAACACAGATTATCCATGGACACGGTACTACTACGTCTTGGAGCTCACACAACACAATCCCATCTGGTGCTTTCCCTCCTCCTCCTTCACATCTTACTGATGACACTGGCCCACATCTACCATCTGCTGCCAATGATGATGTAACCTACGACTACATATAGACTGACACTCCACAGCAAACACCTGAAGTTACGCCAAAAAAAGAGGCTAAACCTATTCATATATACACGTTTTTTTCGTTTTTTGTATATAGCTACCAACATTAGACTGGTTGAGATACACATAAGATGTGAGGTTAAAAACTATAATGATTACAGGCAGCTCATTACACAATAATATTGCAGAATCTAGATTGATGAATGGAAAAAAGACACACAAACAGACACACACACACACAAAAACACAAAATACAGGTTTCATAAACCGGTATAGACCGGTTCTTTACCAGACTTTCTACTACGATTGGACACCAGTGGCACTTTATCTTCTGAAATCCTTCTTCGCCTTGAACTAGCAAAAAAGTGAAAAATGGAAAAGAAGGGCAAAGTAAAATTAATGTTTTCTATGTTGAACTAAACAATGAACAACTAAAATACAGTATATAAGACAAAACGAAACTTTAGGAACACAGTTGGCAGGGGTGTTGTGGCGTGCTTCGAAAAAAACAACCTTTACTCATAAATTCATGATAAGTTTATTGAAGTTAAGTATAATGGATGTGAAAATAGAGTGACTTACCACAAGTTCCAGTAGACAAACCAAGTGACTATAACTATCACCAACACACCAACTGCAGCCAAAGGAAATTAGATACGATAATAACAGGGACTTTACTAATATTAATGTCCCTCACATAGAATCAGTCCTCCTATTAGCAGATAGAACTGCGTCTCAGGTACACAATTCTGATGGAGAACAGGAGAAGAGTAACAAATACACAAGAAGAACGCTATAGCCAAAAACTTGAAAATGCTAGTAAATCTATGGGCATACTTGGAAGAGAAAATTTAGGGAGAAATTCTCGGAAAATGGTATGCAAACCAGAATGCTGCTTAGGAAAGTTTCACATTTTAGCTCCGGTGAAGATCTTAATAGTCCTTTACCTCAAAACCTTCCTGCTACTATTTAGTCGCTACTGAATTACAAAATAATGGCAAGTAGCTAACTGACAGTTTTGTCTTCGTTCCAGTGAAGAAGACTGCCACAGAACTTGGGAGAAGTGGAGCCAGAATTACATCTGGCGTCCTCTGGACATGGCTTCGGGGCACTGGATGGGTTCTGAGAGAGATAGAGAGAATCTTAACGGGACTGTGGCAGTATAATTATAAGTAGAAATAATGGAAACCTAATATTGCACTCTTGCACTGGGCCCCACTGTTTAGTTTCATTTAGCCCTTATTACACTGACATATTCCCTGTAATGGGGGTTTCATCGGCACACGAAGTAAAACTGGTGTTCCTCACTGGGCAGTAGTTGTTGGCAGGGCACTGGACACACGAGGTCTGCCCACTCTCATCCTGATAGTCGCCTTTCTTACACTCCTTACAATCAGGATCATTACTGTCTACTGGTCGGTAGGTACCTGGATGAGACAGGGGATAAAAAATGATACTGCAGTAGTCTGGTGTCTGGATTCGCCTTTTCTGAACAAGGGCCTAAAAAGTGAGAAGTGCCAGAAAATACTGTCTCTGGATGAACTTGAACACCCTATGTTTCTCAACACCCTAATTTGCCCCTTCTCCCCTCTCCCCCCTCCCCCTCTCCCCACACTGAAATAACTCAGATCAATGTTCTGTGGAGATATATAGTATGGACCTGCAGGGCAGTTCTGGCAGCTGTAGGAAGTAAACCTCTCCATCCCAGCCGGACATGTGTAGCACTCTGTACACTCCGAGATACTGTATGGAATGTGATAATATAGTACGGAATATTATATCTGTATTATTAATGCTTAAATACACTTGTTATATATCACTATTGCTAAACAACGAGGTGAATGGGGTTTTTGTTGTATTTTACTGATGAAATTCTAGCTATATTGGTTCCTTACTTGCAGATCCTTCCGGAAGGACAGGTGGTGCAGTTGGAGGCGTTGACGACAGAGAAGGTCCCGGCTGCACAAATGGCGCAGTCTGTGCTGCCAGGTTTAGGCTGAGCAGAACCAGCCTGACAGCCTGTACAGTGACTGCATTTAGTCTCACTGGAGGGAGAGAGGGAGAGAGGGAGAGAGGGAGGTGGGGGAGGGAGAATGCAAAAACCAATACCGCAGGGCTCAGCTATCCTGTCTTTGGTTGCCCTGAGGCAGAGTTTGCTACTGTATAAAAGGTTGCTAGTTATACAACACTAGACTCTGTAGCTGCCATATAGCATGCATTCATGTGTTGAAAAGAGAGTATGGTTCAGAGTTTATATACACTAACTTGCAGAAGGATCCGGGAGGGCAAGGTTTGCAAACGATGGAGCCATTAGTGTTTGTGTAAGTTCCTTCTTGGCACTCCCCACATTTGGTGCTCCCTGGCCCATCAGTATAGTGGCCTTTGGAGCACAGCGTGCAGTTGACTGTGGCTGAATGGCTGAGAGAGAACAAATACAGTTGAACATCAGAATAATCAGGCATTACAGGAAAGAGAGAAAAGAAGAAGGAAAACGTAATTCTGCAGCTAGAAAAAAAGGTTGGCGCGAGATGGGGAAAGGTTGGTGTAAGGTTAAAATGAGAAAAAAGTTAAAGTTTGGAGTGATAAGAGAATGAAGAAAGATTGGAGCGATGAAAAGAAAGTTTGGAGCAAGATAAGAGAATATTGGAGCGAGATAGAAAAAGATTTGAGGGGGGGATTTAGGAGTGAGATGTGAGAGCCAACTTTGTGAAGGATCCTCGGGAGCAGTTTGTGCAGACTGAGCTGCCGTCGAATGCAGCAAACTGTCCCGGAGGACAGGGTTCACATTCCGTCATTCCCTCTTCATCGGCATAGTAACCTCTAGGACAGCGAGTGCACCCAGCAGACTTTGACTCACTGGCAGAGAGAGAGAGAGACATAATACATATCAATAATAGTTACACTTTGCTAATCCAAATGTCTGATACACAGTCACTTTGCTAAAGCAGTCAATGGCTTTAAATTGAATTGGTAAACCTATGTATGTTTGTGTATGCTTGTCAATGTATTTTCTGGCGAATGAATGCTATAAAGTGTGACCTTCGGACCTCAGCTTATTCATGTAACAACATTATGGTATGGGTGACTGTTGAAGACTTGCAATAAAGTGTGGTAGAATCTCCACCTACTTTTTAGAATCGCGTACAACATTAGGGTGAGTGTTAAGTAGAACGGTTGGTGGAAATTGGACAACTACTACATGTGTATAATTATGCGTGTATAGGTAAGCTTAAAGTACATTCGCGCTGAGAATGCACCTTGAAAATCCAGAATAACTTCCGATTCCAGCACCGTATGCGGCCACGCTTGGTATCAAATGTAGCGCTTCACACTCTGGTTCGTTCAGTGCTTACCCCGTTCAAATCCGCTGCGTAGTTTTTTTTCGCTACGCACGTTATGCATAATCCCATACATTTCTACGCATACTTTACATACGGCGAGAGTACCGCCCTCCTCATTATCTACTTCCGCGTGCATTCTCAGCGCGAACGTACTTGAGTTCTAATTCTGTAGTTTTCCCTCACTTTGAGAATGTTCCTCTGCTGCATTCAGTACAGCTGGAGCTGCCATTGTGGCTGTATGTACCGGCAGAGCAGTCAGTGCAGTCACTCTCAGTGGTGCACCATCCCGGGTCACAACTAGAACAATCGCTCTTACCTGCAGGTCAGTTTAGAGAGCTACACATCTCTTTGTTTTGTTTGTTGTTGTTTTGCTTATTTTTTCCCCGTTTATTGTTCCTTTTTTTCCTTTGGTTTTTCTGTATGTCTCCCTATGTATGCTATATATCTCATTGTAAAAAAATTTGAAAAAACTAAAACAACACTCCATTTGAGTAGTGTAGTGAATGAGGGCCATGATATACGATCCAACTTTGTTGTGGAAGACAAAGTTGGATGCAATTTCAAATGTGATGAAACATGTTGCACACAATATAAATGCTTTCTATATTATTTTAATTTTACACTGTATATTACACATTTGGAGTTGCTGGCAACTTTGTGTCACGCAAATTAAGTTATCACGGCCTTACAGATACCAACATTGCTGAACTTCAAGTAGAGCTATGGCCAGCACAACTCACTGTGATCAGCGAACGTTCCGTTGGGACACTCTGCACATATTAAGCCACTGCCGTCACCTGACACTACAAAAAGAAATATTGGGGTAACGTGAGATGGTGCTGCAAAGGGTCTGATGACAATATACAACGGAACCTCTTAAACAGGACATGTTGGGATGATTCAGAGGCTTAATAATACATTGTATACCCAATTCCAGATCATTTATTCAGAGGTGTGTTTTGTTCAGCGTGACCTGTGTAATAGCAGTCTAGGGGGTGTGGCTTGCGAGAGAATCTGTACATTTTGCGGTAGTATGCAACAATGGTGGATTGAACTTCCAGCGTATAATGGTCGCTCCAAATACGTGACGCCCATATAAAAGACTAGTGCTAATACTTCAATGTACTATAATATAATCAAGGGCCTCTCCATGTATGGCTGGTGCCATATCATAGCTAATCTACTAAATGTCACGGTCTGTGAGTGCCTTAGTTTTGTATTGGCACGATACGAGAGTAGGCTGAAACGGTCTTTAATAAGTGAGCCTGTGCAGGATCGCACCTAGTAACAGGCTGGTTCCAGAGCTGGTAATACAGCTGAGTGCCCCGCCCCCTTCCCTCGCTCACCTGTCGCTAGAGCCAGTAGCAGAGCGCACGAGCAGAGGTACAGAGAGATAACACAATGCAAATGTCTTCCAGCCATTTTCCAGCCTCCACAAGCCTTCCTAAACCCTCGCGATGACAGATCTTGTCCGATCAGATCTCAACACTCTAGCGCCCAGATCGCGTGTGGGCGGAGCCAGAAGTGGTCATATGACTTGGGGTCAAAGGTCCCACAACTCCGGCCCTAATTAACCGAAAAGCGACGGCACAGAAAGAAATTTCGAACTTGGTAAGAGATTTTGCACAACAACGTACCACATTACTTTGCTTCTCTAAAATCATTCTCAAAGGTTTATTCTGTGCAGTTATGTCTGAGCTAAGGATCCACCTGGAGTTCTCTGGAGGTGCAGAGCTGCTGGTGGGGAAGACTAAACATCACGACATCGCTCTACCCCATCAGCCACACCCCTGGTCGTTAAGACAACTAATTGCCTGGATACGTGACAACCTACTGAAAGTAAATCTATGCTGCGATACTAAAACACCAGGAAGGCTAAGTAATTGCAAACTCGATTTACTTTTACTCCCTACGTCGCAGTTTGCTATTTTCATCAGTGGGGATCCAGGGGGGTTCCATGGGTTCCGCGGAATCCCCCTTTTTGTCGTTTTGCGCGCATGCGTCACCGGCCTCATTGGCGTGCACGAGTGCAGTCGAAAACGTTCTGAACAGTGGAACCCCCCTTCTGTTCATGATACTAGTAAATTTTGTTCATATTATAATTCCGTCTCTCTTATTGTCGTCCTTTGAGTGATTAATCATCACACAATCTCGTGATGTAAAGCATGCGTCCATGACTTATAGTGGCTAATAGTGAATACAGTGGAACCACCTCCGAACAAGGGACACTATGGGGGCAGCTTTTTTTCCCTTGTAGAGAGCACGGTAGCATGGGATTGAAACAAGTGTCCTGTGTTGTCCCTATCTCGGAGGGTCCCTTATCGGAGGTTCCACTGTACATATAGTGTTTATAATTGTAATGCTACTCTTGCCTCCCCCTCCCTCTCAGGAGCGTGCAGAGTTATTTGTGACGGGAGAGAGTGTGAGACCGGGGATACTGGTGCTGGTGAACAGCACAGACTGGGAACTACTGGGACAGCTGGACTACACCTTGCAGCCAAACGATCACGTCATTTTCATCTCAACACTGCACGGAGGATGACACCTTTAGAGTTTAGTAAATCACTTTCATTACATCATAATTTATATTGCAATGATCATGTTGTGTTTATCTCATTATGTCATCATTACACGTTGAATCAGCAGATCAATGGATCAAATAATCTATACACTGCACGGAAGATGACACCTTTAGAGATTACGTCATCAATTACATGTTGATCGAATTAGCATCATTACACGTTAGAAACATTAAAACCAGTGCTACACCTACTCGAGAATTGGGCCATGTCAAATAGTGCTATAATTATAGTGGTTGCCAATAATAGACAGTCAAACATGCATTTTAGGCAAAAAGTCTATTAATTGCTGCCTGCTGTGAGATTGGTAGAGGGTGATGGAGAAGGGAGATTGAGCTGTAGAGGATCGTGGAGTCTGTCCATCCTCTGTCGGAGATTTCCAATGGCTTCCTTCAGCTGGTTGTACCTGAAATTCACAGAGAGAGAACGCTATTACACACACAATTTGGCACGTGGACAATACCCAGCAAAAACTGTTGTTGGTTTTGCTGCAAATGCTAGCGAAATTTGTTTCCCACTAAACGGTTCTAAATTGATGGCAGTGAAAAAAAGGATGGGAGAGAGATTGGATGGAAACTGAACTGTAGACGGATGGATGGGTCACCTATGAACGTCGAATCCCTGTCTCTTTGCTCTGCGATGGAAGTAGTTGAGGTAGTATCTCTCATGACCTCCTCCCTCTGAATACTCCTATAGAGAAAGAACCTCTGAAAAAGATCCTCCAAACGAGGGACACCTCTCTATACAGGTCACACACTCCCCAATATTACAATTGGCATATAGTATAATAATAATGTATGTACCTCTGAACTATATAGATGGCTCTGAATAAAGGACACTTGTTGTCCCCAAAGGTGCCCCTTATTCAGGTGTTTCACTGAAGCTTACCATTCACAACATTATTTTTCATTCGGTTTACAGACTTTCTAATGATGAACATCTGTACATCATTAGGTTTACTACATTCACACTAAAAACACTTAACCCAGTCAGTTTGTTAGACATAGAGCTATGTGCCAGCTAACCTGTCTGGTGAGCAGGAAGTAGCTGAAGAGGACGATGGAGGTCCCAGTGGCGACAAAGTAGGTGACGGGCTCCATGATGTCCCAGTCGTACTCCCACCACACCAGGTAGGCCAGGAACCCGAACTGGACCGACATCCACGACATACCTGCAAAGAGGGAGAGAGAGGGAGATGGAACCTTCGGCCAATGCTGTGCAACTAGACCCCCTAAATAAAGAGCACCTCACTAGATGAGCTCTAGCTACACTTGCCAATCACATTATCTCTGTGCCAAATTCTGTGGATTACCAATAATTTTGTCTCCATGACATTGCTAACATCATCCGTACGAATAAAGCATATTTTCGTGACTTGCGCAACGATTTCCGCTTTGCACTATTTGGAAGCATTGCCACACATGCTTTAGTATTTTGTTATTTTTGCCATCAAAAAGGCTGTTTGATAATAAGGTAGCCCAGGAACACACAACAAGCCCCACCCACTCACCTCCCCAGGTAACAATCTCTCGGTGTCTGTCGCTCCTCTGAGCAACCTCCAGATATTTCTTCTCCAGAGGAGCCAACTCGCTCCTCAGCTGCTCCAACTGACCTCTCAGCTCCAGATCCTTACACAAACATGCAAAAGAGACCGAGACACAGAGACGCTGCCTACAATGCAGACGAGCTGCGGCGAAAATGGCGGAAGTAAAACTCTGACTTATGTTTTAAGGGCAAACGAACACCACCGGGAAAAGAGAGACAGGAGGAAAGAGACAGCAAAAAAGGACTCGGGTCCAAGGGTAGAACCAAACACGTATTTTAGCAGAGCCGGGTGGGCGAGAGGGAAGTACAGGCAAACTAACAGTCCCAAAACATTGCAAAAGAACTAAAGAATGCCAGTGAGTGTGGAAAATGGGGTTCTTGTACTTTTAGCAAGCGAGGGAAAGCAAACTAAAAGCCCCCCATATACTGTGAATGAAGTGCAAATGGTTGTGGAATAATGGCCTAAACCTTTCGTACTTTTAGCAAGCCGGTGGGGAGAAGGACAGGTAAATTAACAGTCCCAAAACATTGCAAAAGAACTAAAGAATGCCAGTGAGTGTGGAAAATGGGGTTCTTGTACTTTTAGCAAGCGAGGGGAGGCAAACTAAAAGCCCCCCATATACTGTGAATGCAGTGCAAATGGTTGTGGAATAATGGCCTAAACTTGTCGTATTTTTAGCAAGCCAGTGGGGAGAAGGACAGGTAAACTTACAGTCCTAAAACATTGCAAAATAACTAAAGAATGCAGTGAGTGTGGAAAATGGGGTTCTTGTACTTTTAGCAATCCAGGGAAAGCAAACTAAAAGCCCCCCATATACTGTGAATGAAGTGCAAATGGTTGTGGAATAATGGCCTAAACTTTTCGTACTTTTAGCAAGCCAGTGGGGAGAAGTACAGGCAAACTAACAGTCCCAAAACATCTCAAAAGAACTAAAGAATGCAGTGAGTGTGGAAAATGGGGTTCTTGTACTTTTAGCAATCCAGGGAAAGCAAACTAAAAGCCCCCCATATACTGTGAATGAAGTGCAAATGGTTGTGGAAAAACTTTTCGTATTTTTAGCAAGCCGGTGGGGAGAAGTACAGGCAAACTAACAGTCCCAAAACATCTCAAAATAACTAAAGAATGCAGTGAGTGTGGAAAATGGGGTTCTTGTACTTTTAGCAAGCGAGGGGAGGCAACTAAAAGCATATATACTGTGAATGCAGTGCAATGTTGTGGAATAATGGCCTAAACTTTTCGTACTTTTAGCAAGCCGTGGGGAGAGGACAGGGCAACTAACAGTTCTAAAACATTGCAAAAGACTAAAGAATGCAGTGAGTGCGGAAATGTGGTGTTCTTGTACTTTAGCAAGCGAGGGGAGGCAACTAAAAGCTCCCCATAACTGTGAATGAAGTGCAAATGGTTGTGGAATAATGGGCTAAACTTTTCGTATTTTAGCAAGCCGGTGGGGAGAGTACAGGCAAACTACAGTCCTAAAACATTGCAAAGAACTAAGAATGCAGTGAGTGTGGAAATGGGGTTCTTGTACTTTTAGCAAGCCGGGGAAAGCAAACTACAAAGCCCCCCATATACTGTGAATGAAGTGCAAACTGGTTGTGGATAATGGCCTAAACCTTTCGTACTTTTATGCAAGCCGGTGGGAGAAGTACAGGCAAATAACAGTCCTAAAACATTGCAAAAGAACTAAGAATGCAGTGAGTGTGTAAAATGGGTTATTGTACTTTTAGCAACGCGAGGGGAGGCAACTAACAGCCCCATATACTGTGAATGCAGTGCAAATGGTGTGTGAATAATGGCCTAAACTTTTCGTATTTTAGCAAGCCGAGAGAGAGAGTCAGGCAAACTAACAGTCCCATATACTGTGAATGCAGTGCAAATAGTTGTGGAATAATGGCCTAAACTTTTCGTACTTTTAGCAAGCCGTGGGGAGAAGACAGTGAAACGAACAGTGCTAAACATTGCAATGACTAAAGGAATGGCAGTGAGTGTGGAAAATGGGGTTCTGTACTTTTAGCAAGCCAGGGAAAGCAACACTACAGTCCCCATATACTGTGAATGAAGTGGCAAATGGTTGTGAATAATGGCCTAAACCTTTCGTACTTTTAGAAAGTCGGTGGGAGAAGGACAAGGCAAACTAACATCCCAAACATTGCAAAGAACTAAGAATGCAGTGAGTGTGGAAAATGGGGTTCTTGTACTTTTAGCAAGCGAGGGGAGGCAAACTAAAAGCCCCCCATATACTGTGAATGAAGTGCAAATGGTTGTGGAATAATGGCCTATATTAGGCAAGCCGAACACGAGCCAACTGAATACTTTTACTTTAGCTGAAGAACGCAGTATTACTATGGAAACAGGTCTAAACATTTAGTAAGTAACTGGAGGGAAGGAGAGATGAACCAACCATCCTGAACACCTGACTACAGCTGGAGAACCCAGTATTACTATGGAAACAGGTATAAACATTTTCTTTGAGTGGAGGGAAGGAGAGACGAACCAACCATCCTGAACACCTTGACTACAGCTGGAGAACGCAGTGCAAATCCTGTCATGCACGTCAGAGGAGGTATATATATATACACTATACTGACCTGATGTTCATGGACATTGTGTTGTGATATAGAGCTTTGAAACTTCAGTTTTCAGCTCTTCAAACGTCTTGGACGAGTCAGAAGGCAGGAGAACTACACAAACATCGCAAAATAAATCTCTATGGTCAAAGATGCAGACTAATACAAGCTTATAAACACACGTGTGACATAATTCTTAACCTGTCTCTCTAACAAGAGAGTATTACATGTAGTAGTAGCTACTGGTATACCATCCGAAGGTGGCCTGATGCGGTATTTGATGTCATTGATTTGTAGGTCAAATTCAGACTGTAGCAGCAGTCCCAGAGGAGTGGAGCCTGCCATTCGGTGACCTTCTACTGTTAGGAATGAAAGTCTGTAGTGGGGAGCGACGAGGAGTTGAAAGCAGGTGAGACAGTGCGAGAGATGAGGGCGAGATGATGAGATTGATGGGCTACAAACAGCCTTTTACACAGCAAACATGGACAGATGACAACAACACGGAGTCCTGTTAATTTACCTCTCATTCCGGGGTCTTCATTCCTGATACTGGAGGTGACGTGGGCCACGGTCTGGAGGAAAAAATGTCTGAGGACAAAGTCACAAGTCTCGTTCCGAGACGGGAGAGGAAGAGAGAGAACTGGGAACCCTCCGCGAACTCCCACCTCAACTGGAGGAAGTGGAGAGGGAGGACGGTTATACCGCGGGGCCAAATGAAGAACAGGAGAAGAAAAACGGGAACACGGACAGGACAATAGGAAGGTGAGAAACAGCTCACTTACCAGTTTCCCGACTATACGGGAGAGTACTGTATGCCCGTGTTATCCTGCTAGCTAGGCCAGAAGCTGGGAAGTCCAGGATCCGTTTGCGAAGCGCTAAAAGTCTAAGGGCCATGATGCCTCAAGACTGGATGAACCACGCCCACTCTTTTTACCCGCTGTTGCGCACGCGCAGTCTTGTTTACTGGCTCACCGACACACACACACACACACACACACACACACACCGTCATCGGGATCGCACGAACCCCCCCCTCTACGCCTGCCTACCACCTTCCATGCAACATGGTATTACGCGGGAATGGAAAACTACGCAGAACGGAACAGCATTGTATATAACTTCTTTTTTTTCCAATCAATACAAACGATACAATAATAAATAAATAAAATAAACAGCATTGATGTTTGCATTGAGGCGGATTAGTTAGCTAGGCCTGGTCGAAAGTTGGTAGCTGATTGTAGCTAGCTAGCTATAATTAATACGCCTGCGCGTACCGTAGGAGGCAGAAAGAACGCTACTGCGCATAATGGCGAGGAACCGTTCGCTCCCGGTGAAGTCGCGCACTGGTTTTCTCTCCCATAGAGAATGTATGGAGGATGAATATGAATATGCTAATAAGCTTGTAAAACAAGGAGTGAAAAATCCGAGACAGGTACCAAAATTCACTATAATTCACGAGCGTTTTAGCCATGCTAGTGAAAAAAATAACTAAAATATCGACGCCCACGCAATTTTGGCGCATCTTTTAACCCTCGGCGCGCATGCGCAGCGAGGGTTACGGTATTGTACGTCCCGTAAGTGTATCAGTCAGTCTGTCAGTCTGTCTGTTACCACGTTTTCTGCGACTACGCGCAACGAGATAACAAAATAGCGATACTAAACGGGTTCGTCGCTACAAACTGGCTATCATTTAATAGGCGATTTTTCGTATAACAACTGCGTTCAAAGTTATGGCGTGAAAATCAGCGAACAAGCAATATGCAAATTAGCGCAGGCTTACCTCGACCGCGTCCGCTCGCTCTGTGTATCTTGCAGGCACAAGAAGTCACAACGAAGTGCGTGTATCGACATCCGCATGCTATCTACTATACCTAGCCCGTGTCGTCAGACTCTCCGCGAGCTACTAGCGGGATACCACGGGTAAAGATACAAAGCCCAGCCCATCAATTAGTGCTACCTACTTTAGTTATAGCAGTGGACGTGACTGCAATTCCTAAAAAATGCTACATTTTGCATGTAGACGGTGTCAGGTTAGCAGTACACTCAGGAATGCACGGTTACAAAAATGTGCGCAACAATGTTTCCTAAATATAATATGTAGAGCTGCTTGAATATGTGCCCTGTCATTGTTGTGTTGCCTTTCAAAAAAGTATATACACAGCGGCCGTCGGTTGCTGCGTGTACTAGCTATATACTCGAGAGGCGGCGTAGGTGAAAGAAGTGACGGGCGCCCGTCGTTCGATGACAGTGTGCGGGATGACGCATGGGCAAGTTTTTCTCCGCCGGATAAACTTCTGCTTCAGCCCGCTCGTCCTTCTCTGAAGGAGCCGTGTTTTCTGTCTCGTGATTGCTGTTTACGAACTTCTCCGAGGACTCTGAAATTCAAGACCCCTTATTTAGATAGCTAGCTTTTACGCAGCGTGTATAATTAGTCGGAACTGTACCCAACGTACTAAGCAGCTAGCAGGAAGTATACGCATTTTTTATGCCACTCCTACTGGGTGGGAGTGAATAAGGCGCGTATATAGCCACGTGCTTCTTTCCAAAACTGTTGATCATGAAGTTCCCAACGACGCTCGTATTGTCTGCAGTTCTTTTTCTGCTGGTGCTCACAGCTGTGGCAACGGCCAAACAAATTTCTTCGCAATTTGGGACCGACAAACTCACGGTCGACAAAAGGCAGAGTTGCTCAAGGTATTCTTATAACATCAAAATACGTGCACTGGAGTGCACACGGGCCTACCTCGAAGCAGTAAGGGAAGAGATAGAAATAGCACGTGCAGAAACAGTTACTTCATATACCATGAGGACGATGACCCTCTCGTGGAGCGATACACTACGAACACCGTATGTGAGCGTCCACGCGACGCTAGGGAAGACGTTCGAAATTGTTCCGGAACGTGCTCGGCCCGACAGAGGTAGTACTATTTGTCGTGCTCCCTTCTCCTACAGGGTTACGAAAGCGTCCAAAACGAATGTGGTTCTCTACCGGAGGAGACAGACTATTGTTTGTTTGACAAGGGAGACTTTTGCTTCTTGTATGGACCATAATGTCAAACCTCTGCTTCTGTGATGTTTGATTGCGATGCTAACTTTAGACCTGAGCCTTAATGCACTACAGTGCAGTGAGTCATGCAGACAGGCTGTTGATACCACACACATACATGACACTACTGCTGGCTTTTGCGTCGAAACATACTGAGCGATACCCATAGATACCCCAACCTGACAGGCAGTTTCAGAGGCCAAGCATACAGAAGCATTATAATCTCAGCCACTGTGAGGTGGAGATTCCTGAAGCTTGCACTTTTGGTCGTCCTCCCCAAGGAGAGTTTTCCACGATCTGTTGCACTCAAACAGACCAAAAAAAAAAGCTCGGAGAGTACTGCTGAACCACAGAAGCGGCTGATAATGGGGTGTTTCCAACTAAACTAGGCACCACATGGCTAGTCACAGGTTGTTGGCCCTACGTTCGGATAACAAGGAACAGTACTCTGCTTATTACTCTCAGAACCCCAACAAACACTTAAACACAAAACTCTTTGGTTTACTTTATACTTTTTCAGCAGTGGTCCTACGTGTCAACTGTCTAGCCTTAGGCTTCTTAGTTCATATAGGCCATGCATCACAGTAATATCGACTATCACACATCAAAAGTTGTTTGGGCCTAGTTTTTTACATTGTTACTTGGCATCAACTGTGCAAATTCTACTTTGGTTGGGCTTAAAATTCCATCTCTGAAGATCAAGAAGCAGAGGATAACGGGCCGGTTTTAGCATAAGTTTCCTACGCAGACTAGAGCACGCGATGGAAAGATGCTATCACGCATGGAAGCCGAACTTGCGCATACGAACAGGATAGTCCTCGTCGGTTTGGCAGATAGGGCTACACTAATTTATTCAATATAATGCGGAAGAAAAACGACTAAAGCAGCTGCTATAGCTTATAGCTATATGGCTTCACCGAGGCTTTCCTGGCTTCATCACGTCCTCATGATATCACGATTGGTCACCTAGCTCCTGCAGCCACCAACCAGCCATCGCCGGTAACCTCTCCGATATTAGACAGTTCAAAATCTATACTTATAAGCAGCCTGACAGTGATACATTAGTCTCCTCTAAAGTGCAGTGCAAATTGTGTTAACATTGATTGGCGAAGCGGCGGAAGAGGCGACCCATACTTGTGGGATTTAAAGTTTTGGGGCCCGCCGTGCATTCTTTCAACAGGGTTGGCAGAATAACGTAGCGCGTCGACCAGCGACAACATACGCTGCTTCTCTTTCTTGAATCAGCCTAAGCTAACGCCTAGTCCGACCTCTCGTTCACACATCATCAGTCTTGTTACATTGGGGCAGAAACGACTGAGGGAGCAGCCCTGGTGAGCGACGGAACTCGGTCTACCCGCACCTCAAGAGAGGCGCACCCCGGTCTCTATGCCTAGTTTTACTAAAATCTCTTCTACTTGGCCATCCAGACACTCCGTCACGACCTTATCTCTGTCGTCAATTACGAAATGCTCCCATCTGCGTTCAGAAATCGGTGGTTCACGCATGCCACACATGGGTCATGGGCAGCTATTACGTAGCACGACGGCAACAACCTAAGCGTATTTTGCAAGTTGTCAGATTGGAAGCATGAAGATTAGGGTAAGCAGTGTAGGCAC